AACTATTTTAAAAGAAAAAGTAATAGTTCTTGAACCTTTCTCTTCATTCAACTTGTTACTTGAGAACACTGTGAGTTTCGGGTTACATCAATTTCTCTACTTGGCTGAGTTCTTACTTTGTTTCCAGCAACATTTTCTACAAATGCATGAAAATTAGAATAACAACACAAGACAACGATCACTGTGAAATCTGTTTAGTTTGTAAATTTTACTGAATTTTCAATTGGTAAAGCATCAGAGAATCCAAAGAGTATTTATTCCCTACAAAAAATATTTCATTTTTTTTTTGTAAATAGAAATATTTCATATATATTTGTTCTTTGTTTTTAAGATATATAGGAGAAGAAACACATACATGATAGTAGGATAATAAAACGGTGAAGATTCGTATACACAAGAAGAAAATCAAGAGATTATTAAAATTCTAACAAAATAAAAGAAAAGGAAAGATGAATTATATGTGGTGAATGGCTGCTATCTAGAAAAAGAAGTTAGTTTTTTTAGTTAATTTGTTTTTTTTATAGGTTATAGCATTTGATAAAATATATAAAAGATAGTCAATAAGGAATCAAAATTTGGTGGATTTTTTAGTTATACTTATTACCAACAAATAATTTCTAAAATTGTTTGTCGCAATAACAAAATCTCACTGAAAAACTTATAAACTATTTTAAAAGAAAAAGTAATAGTTCTTGAACCTTTCTCTTCATTCAACTTGTTACTTGAGAACACTGTGAGTTTCGGGTTACATCAATTTCTCTACTTGGCTGAGTTCTTACTTTGTTTCCAGCAACATTTTCTACAAATGCATGAAAATTAGAATAACAACACAAGACAACGATCACTGTGAAATCTGTTTAGTTTGTAAATTTTACTGAATTTTCAATTGGTAAAGCATCAGAGAATCCAAAGAGTATTTGTTCCCTACAAAAAATATTTCATTTTTTTTTTTGTAAATAGAAATATTTCATATATATTTGTTCTTTGTTTTTAAGATATATAGGAGAAGAAACACATACATGATAGTAGGATAATAAAACGGTGAAGATTCGTATACACAAGAAGAAAATCAAGAGATTATTAAAATTCTAACAAAATAAAAGAAAAGGAAAGATGAATTATATGTGGTGAATGGCTGCTATCTAGAAAAAGAAGTTAGTTTTTTTAGTTAATTTGTTTTTTTTATAGGTTATAGCATTTGATAAAATATATAAAAGATAGTCAATAAGGAATCAAAATTTGGTGGATTTTTTAGTTATACTTATTACCAATAAAAAAAAATAGTGGAGGCAAGACTTGAACCTGCGCTGATTCTGGAGTGAAAACACATCTTAAACCACTACACCAACGATCATAAGTTATTATATCTTGGCGCCCTTAATTTATATAGATATTTTGGCGCCTAAAACCCAAGGTTTACGGGCTACCCGAATGAACCCAATTCGAACCCGACCCGACTACCCGAATGCCCAGTTCTACTAACAATACTAAAAGCCATCTACACCCAGACCAGGAAAGAGTGGCTTCTTCATTTCTTATCTATGTTCCTTTGATTCCACTTGGTATTCGGTTAGATATTCGGTCCACATCCGATTGAATAATCAACCAGATGAGCTGGGCCTTTATTGGGGATATATTCAATTTTTGCGAAGCTCAAATCCAATATACCTACATCATAATTTTACAACACCTAATTTCTGATCAAGCTGGGCCTGTAATCAATCCTCGGCTTTAATCCCTTCTTGATAGTTTCCTAATTCTTCTTCCCTAATTCTTCTTCATTGCGAACAAGCCGATGGAGATTTATGTCCGTTGAAACCAATCGTCTCTTCATCTTTCTTTCTGGTTGTCTCACTGTCATCCTTTGATTAAACTGAAGATAAAGCTTTGACCTTCATTGACATTTCTCACACTCTTCATTGTTGTAACTCTCCTATGGTAACCGACCTCTTCCAATCCTTAAGTTTTACCCTATACATATATAGTATACACGTCTCTCGCTGTCAACGACTCCCCCTACCGGAAATCATCAAAACCCATGGCTAACATAAAGGCAAAATTGAATAGAGCTGCTGGACTGATTTATTCTTCAAAGATTTCTGTCTTGCGAAACTGTTTTTCAGGAAAACAATATATACTAACAAAATGTATTTTGATAGTGTTTTTTTCTTGTATACATTTTTATATTATTTTCTTTTTGTAGTTTGGAGATAACAAAACTATGAATCATGAACAGAGATGAGTTGAAGTTTTTAAATGGACAGATGGTGCGTTTTGGGAATCATATCAAGGATCCTTAGTACCACAGCCCGGATCCCTTCTTTGACAGGTTATAATATGATCATTTGACTTTGGTCACACATAATAGGGTCTACTGTATTTTGAAAGTATTTGAATTTACATTAGTTATGTGTTTTAATTTAGGTCGGCTTCTAAATGTACACCCCCAAAAACATTTCCGATTACAACGTCTCCATTTAGATCCAAAGTGGGTTGCTGGTTCGATGAGGCTGAGAACTCGAGTAGTGCCATTGGAGGTGGCTAAATGAATATCTTTGGTCGGTTCATCGTTGCTCAACTTTTAGGGTTTCACTTGTGAGCTTGGGCTCTAATGGGCCAGAAAAAAACCATGAAAAAAAATTCCTAAGCCCAACCAAAAGTGAGGATCTGGCAATGACGTGGCATAATGAAATGTCCCTATTGGTTGAATATAATAAATGATGTGGACAGGTTCAAAACTCTAGAATAAGCCCTTTTAATATGTAAGATGTAAGATATTAAACTCTTTTACCAGAAAAAAATATAATTATATACTAAACTTGAAAAAGAAAACGCAAATGCAGTGACTTGCATCAGGTGGAAGCAGGGGCGAAGCTAGGAATTTTGTGTAGTGGGTGCACTATTAATCATAAAAGAAATGAAGACATAAGGAAGACTTGAACCTGAGTTACTAGGGATACACAATCTAAATTATACTATATAATCTACTAAACTTCTATTGATTTACCTTACAAAATCTGAAAGATAAATATTATTGGGGGTGCACGTGCACCTATAGATTATAAGGTGGCTTCGTTCCTGGGTGGAAGCAAAGCCACCCCCAATGTTACATTGACGCTAAACTAATTTTTCGGAGGATTATTAGAACAGTAATTTTTGTGGAGTTTGATGATTCTAATAGTTGAGAAGATTTTAAAAATTAACTAGATTTAACAAATTATATCAAATAGTTTTACATAAATTTCATGACTTGTGTATAGAATTTTATTGATTGTTACTAAATTTTAAAGTAACTAATTAGTAGGAGAAAGGAAAAACAAATTAATGACCAAAAATAATTTTATATTAAATATCCAAAAATCATTATACTCCTTATTTTATAGATATATAAATAAAAATTAAAATATATATATTTATAATTTAGAAATATATGTTTTCATATTTGAAATTTTTATAAAAAAAATCGAAATTTTATTTTTAAATTGTTTTTTTTAATCTTTTAAACTCGGAAAACCCTTTTGAAAATATTTTTAAATGTTTTTATTTTAAAAACTTTAATATTTATTCTCTGTTTTTTAAATTGTGATTTGTTTTATGTTAAAGTTATGATTTGTATCATTCTATTTTTTAGTTTTATATGTGAGTGTATTTTATTACATAGATTTCAAAAATCTCATAGGTGTAGAAAATTTTCTCAAAATTGAGTTTTATGAATAAAAACAAAGAAAATTTACTTCCCAATAACATATGTTAAAGTTATGATTTGTATCTTTCTATTTTTAATTTTATATGTGAGTGTATTTTATTACATAAATTTCAAAAATCTCATGGGTGTAGAAAATTTTCTCAAAATTGAGTTTTATGAGTAAAAACAAAGAAAATTTACTTCCCAATAACATAGATTTTAATTGAATCTTAAAATCAGTGAAAACTAAACTTTTCTTATAACAAAGTATTTTGAGTGGAGTTTAAAAGTTCTCACCCTAATAATAATGAATTCTACGTAGACTTTAAAAATTCATAAACCAATAACAATAGAATCTCAAAATTTAATATTTAATAACTCCTCTACAATTCTTACCCCAATAACTCTCCTTCGTAACACTATAAAATCTCTCCCAAAACCCTAACTTCCTCCCTCCCATCATCAACGTTAACTTTGGTAAATTATCCAAACCCCCGTTTCAGATTCATATCAACCAAGTTATTGGCAAGATAAATCACACAAACCAATTATAATAGTATTAATTAAGCTATGTAAAAAGAGTAACATCATCAAAAAAATTATAGTTTTTAATTATTATATATATATATACATATCATTTTCTCAATCAATTTTTTTTTTGGAGAAAAGTCATAATTTCATAAATTTGCAAAACAATGAACTGTAAAATTTGGATTAAAAAGTGATAAATTTTGAAACTATAATAATTTAAATCAAATTAGATTACATATTAATCATTTATCGGTTCAGTCGGTTAGGTTTTAATAACTTTTATAGATTTTAAATATGAATATTTTAAAAAATTTAAACCGAATTATCGGATAATCGAATTAAACATTTAACAGCAATTCTAGGTCGACTTTAAAAACATTGATTTAAATAAATGCAAAAATATTTTAAATACATAAAATTCTTATAAATTAACAAATATTTGTTAAATATTAGTTAAATTTTTTATCATAAAATATTCCGTATTTGCAAAAAAACAGATATTAAAATCTAGTATATATACAAAACTCTTAGTTATTACATGTAAACAAAACGAAAGAAAAAAAAACGCAAACGCGTAGCGTTGCTTCAGGTCGAAGCAAAGCCACCCCAACAAACGTTACATGGACGCTAAACAAATTTCGTAACCCTATATAAACCCCTCTGATCAAAACCCTAACTTCCTCCCTCCCATCCTCAACGTTAACTTCGATAAATTATCCAAACCCGTTTTAGATTCACCTCACAAAAACTTCTTTCTCCCTTCTTCTTCTTCTTCTTTTCAATCATGGGCACTTCTCAGAGTCGTGAAGATCGTATCACCGATTCTGATTACCACTACAAAGAAGAAGACGAGGATGATCATCAATACGAGGACGTCTCAAGAAACTCAAACCTCTCACGACCTTCCTCCTCTTCTTCAGGACCATCTTATCCATCACCCTCTCTCGAAATCGAGCAGAAGCTGAGTGCCTTAAAGCTGAAATACTCATCATCATCACCCGCAACAACACCCCACATCAAAAACGCGGTGAAGCTTCACCGCCATATTGGCGGGAACACTCCCAAAGCGAAATGGATCATCTCTGATAAGCTGACGTCATACAAGTTCGTCAAAACTTGTAGAGATGATGATATTGACGATTATGACGATGGTGAAGAATCAGACGAGGAATGCAAGAAAGCCTTCTGGTATCTATGCGTTGGTTCTATGGTTAAAGCTGTGGTTGAGACGGATCTACGTATGAAGATGTTTGGAGAAGACAAACAACTTAGAGTTGAGTTCGTGAGTAATGATGGTGTTTGGGGTTTGGAGTTTTTGACCGTTGAGGAGTATAAGAGGTTCGTTACTAGGTTTCAGGACTGTTTGTTTGAGAATGTGTATAAGGTCAAGGCGTGTGAGGAGAGTAGGGTCGAAAAATATGGGGAAGGTTTTGACGCGTGGGCTAATCCTGAGACTGCTGATGATTCTATGTGGGAGGAGGATGCTGAAGAAGAAGAAGAAGAAGAAGATGAGATAAGTACGGATTTGAGTGAAGAGTTTGAAGAGGTGGCGAATGGTGGAGTGCAGAGTTTGGCTTTAGGTGCGTTGGAGAATTCCTTCTTGGTGAACGCCTCAGGGGTTCAGGTTTATAGGAATATGGAGCGTGGGATTCACGGGAAAGGTGTGTGCTTTAGGTTTGATGGTGGTGACGACCAGACAACACCAAACAAGGCGCTTTTGATGAGAGCCGAGACGAATATGATGCTAATGAGTCCAGCTCAAGAAGGTAAGCCACACTCTAGTGGTGTGAAGCAGCTTGATATTGAGTCAGGGAAGATTGTTAGGGACTGGAGGTTTGAGAAAGATGGGGCTGAGATTATGATGAGAGATATAATTAATGACGCAAAGGGTTCGCAGTTAGATCCATCAGAGTCTACTTTTTTGGGGTTGGATGATAATAGGTTGTGTCAATGGGACATGAGAGACAGGAGAGGTATAGTGCAGAACTATGAACCATCTGTCTTGGGATGGAATCAAGGACATGATTTTTCTAGAGGGATAGGTTTCACGTGCATTGCTAGTTGTGGAGATGGGTCTATAGGTGTGGGATCGGATGATGGAAAGATTAGGTTGTACTCAAAGCCAAACTCATTCAGACAAGCAAAGACTAGTTTTCCGGGGCTTGGTTCACCGATAACACATGTGGATGTATCTTATGATGGGAAATGGATTTTGGGGACAGCAGATACGTACTTGGTTCTTATATGCACGCTTTTCACTGACAAAGATGGTCAGACGAAGACAGGTTTTAGCGGAAGGATGGGGAACAAGATACCTGCTCCGAGGCTGCTGAAGCTGACGCCATTAGATTCACACTTGGCAGGGAAAGATAATAAGTTTCACGGCGCTCACTTCTCATGGGTAAGTTTCTACTTTACACGTTTTTTGATTGTTTATAAAGCCAAATCTCATAGTGTTTGTTGTGTGAATGTTATTTTGCAGGTAACTGAGAGTGGGAGGCAAGAGAGGCACATCGTAGCAACGGTGGGGAGATTCAGTGTGATATGGGACTTGGAGCGGGTGAAGAACACTGCGCATGAGTGTTATAAGAACCAGCAAGGGCTCAAGAGCTGTTACTGCTACAAGATCTTGTTGAAAGATGAGTCTATTGTGGAGAGCAGGTTCATGCACGATAGATTATCCTTCTCTGGTAATAACAAGTCACCAGAAGCTCCACTTGTGGTTGCTACTCCCCAGAAAGTCAGCTCCATTAACCTCTCTAGAAGACGGTTGTGATAAACGCAATGTTGGTTTTGTAATGAAATTGCTAAACTGCTTGTGCGTTTGATTGATTGATTTTTGTTTTTATGTGAAGGTCTGTATTGAATGACAATTTTATTTACTCAAATATGTAATGCTTGGTTTGTATGTGGTTTTTGAATCAGATTTGTGTATCATTTGGTTTCATAACTCTTCATGAGTTAATACATTTGTAATAGTGATTTTCTCTTTAGAAATAATTATTTATTTTCAACATAGACCGCCTGCAACGAGCCTTCACAATTCTAGTAGTAGATGTTGTTCACTGGTTCGTTCGTTACTAGTATACACCACCTGCAATTCATCTGTAACCAAACACCTTATCACAACAGTCTCTTGTTCCAACGAGAAAAAAACTTCATGTGGTCCTTGACTTTAATCCTGAGACCAAAGTAAACCTTTGCCTATAAAAACAAAATAGTTCTACAACAAAACAGCATACATCAGCATTCAAGCAAATTCGAACTAGCCACTAAAGAATGATCTTAATAAGAGCATGATTAAGGCTGAAATCCCATTTGAAATTTTTATTTATTTAATTTTATTTTGGTCTGATCTAAAAAAAAATTAAAAATAAACCAATTGCATACCATCAGATGTCAGTAGAGCCCACGAACAGTAGAAGAACCCAAACAAAAACAACTCTTATTTGATGACTTTTGTAATCGGTTTTTAGTAATCCCCCCCTTTTAAGAAACTCCTAAAAACCCCATTCCCCTTCCCGGTAATTATGGTATTAGCTTTTCTCATTGTTTTAGATATGGTATTAGCTTTTCCCTTTGTTTTAGAATAATTGTCATTCTAGGCTTTATTTTTTGTCACAAGTTAAGTATTGTTTTAGTGTTTCTAGGAAAAAATTATTAATTTTATATAATATTTTATTTTTTTATTGGTTGAAAAATGGTTAGTTATATAGATAATTGTGTTTTTATTTTGAAAATACGTAGAATTAAATATTTATCAAATATCTGTGAAAATATCTGTAGCTTAACAGTTATTCACGTTTCGGCCCATAAAAGGCCCATTAATTTAGGTCCATATCAAATCAGATTCCATACCGATTCCATTTGTCAAATGATTCAAAATCATCCGCCAAAGATACCTCTTTCACACTGTACACAAAATCAATCAATCAATCTCCCCCCCCCCCCCGTCGAACACGATCACCTCTCCGCCGAATTGATTCTGTTTCACCACTTTAAGTCTCACGATCGATGGCCCCCAAAACCACCCTTCCACAGGTCCATTGAAGATTTTCAAAATCGCGATCATCATCCAATCAACAACAATAATGTCTTCCTCGCTACTCCAAGGAATCCCCGAATCAATCGCTCTCCGATGCCTCGCTTACGTCCCTCTACACCACCACCCTAACCTAGAACTCGTCTCCCGCTCCTGGCGAGCAGCGATACGCAGCCACGAGCTTTTTCGCAAATCATCATAATCTCTCCTCTGCGTCTGCTCCTTCGATCCAGAGAACACGTGGCAAGTCTACAGCCCTTCCTGCGATCGCTGGCTAACTCTCCCTCTCCTCCCTTCCCCGATCCGCCAACCTCGCTCACTTCGGAGCCGTTACAACCTCCGGAGGCAAACTCTTCTTCGTCTTAGGCGGAGGCAGCGACGCCGTGGATCCCTTAACCGGCGATCACGACGGTACATTCGCTACCGACGAGGTCTGGTGTTACGATTTTGTGAAGAGAGAGTGGAGCAAGCGAGCTTCTATGATCGTGCCTCATGGTCTATGTTCGCTTGTTCTGTTCTAAACGGAGAGATTATTGTTGTTGCAGGTGGATTCACGAGTTGCAGGAGATCGATTTCTGAGGCAGAGAAGTATGATGTAATCGGACTCATAACTAGCCTTGTTCGGGTTTGGTTTTGAGAGGGGATGTTTTGCATAAAGGTTTATAGACGGTGCAGGTTCTTGAGAGTGTTAAGCTGGGATGGGAGGTGGCCTCAGGGTCCGATTGCTGTTGTTGAGGATGTGGTTTATGTGTTGAGTCATGGAGTTGTGTATAAGGAGGAGGATGAGACGTGGAAGATGGTTGCGTCGGCGTCGGAGTTTAAAGCCGAGGATTGGGATGGCGATGGGGTGTTTGAGTGATGAGGTTTTGTTAGTTTGGGGTGTGATTGGGCCTGAGATAGGCATTGGGATATTAAGCCTTTGTCGGATGTTGATGTTTCGAGTGTTGGGAGTGATCGTCCGGTGACGAAGTGTTGTGGAACGGTTCTTGGTTGTACGGAGTTGATAATCTGATGGGAGTTTGATGTAAGAAGATAGTGTGTTTGTTTGTTTTGCTTTTCTTAATGTTTGTTATAATGTTTGATTATTGTTTCAGAGTTCTCTTTGAGAGAAAAAAAAGAACATAGGTAAGTGTTAAGAAGATATCATCTCCAAAATAAAAATCTGACCCAAAAAAAACAATACAAAGAGGAATTGCATTTACAAAGTGTGACTTACACATCTGTTTTATTTATATGCAGTCTAACGTCGAAATGGACTCCACCAATACAAAACTGGGCTAACAAAAAAAAAACATAACCTTTCTTCTTTTTAAAACCTCCAACTCTAAACAGCAAGGTAATGATGAAGCTGAGAACAAATTCTTCAGCAGCTTAGAGGTTTGGTTGGAGAAATGGAAACATGTTCCGTATCTATCATGCTTGCAAAAAGCCTATTCATCATCCTCTGAATCTGTGCCAGTCACAAGAACAAACGTAAACAAAAGTTGTAACTCAAAAACTCTTAATGATAAACATAAAACTATAGCTAGAGCAAGATTCATATTATGAAAGATAGATAAACAGTTTTTATTCAAACTGAGTTTAAACCAAAAAAAATATATATAAAAATCTTACCGGATCTTATGTCTTCTCCAACTTTTCCTCTGTTTTTAAGAAGTCTTACAATCATGGCGCAAATGAGATACCACCAATATATGTGGAAAACAAGAAGCATCAGTAACATTGTGTTGAAAGAATAGTACATGATGGTATCTTCAGCTACTGCCATATCCAAATGATGCACAAGTTCAATGCTTTAAGAACAAAAAAAAACGTTGTTAATGTCAGATAAAGCATTGACATTACAATAATGTTATATCTCCAAATAAGAGGTGGATTACCTGGTGGCCCTGATGATCCAAAATGGAAAGTATATCAACCGTAGCAATAGCCAAGAGATAGCAAACAGTGCAAAACACACACTCGCTCCAAACTCCTTTTCAGAGTACTTGAAAATTTTAGCAGTTTCCATAAACACGTCACTTGCATCATGAAGTGCAAGGATGATTGCTCCTATTCGGAAAAAACTGCAGAAGAATCAAGAATATGTTTAATAATCATCATATTTGGTTGGTTTCTTGCTCTATAATTCACTAATCTCCCAGTCACACATAACCAACCACCAATGAAAAGCCATTTAATTATTATTAACGAGACTTCTTGTTACCTTAGCAAATCAATTCAAAATCCTATGTGCTACTAAAAAGAGAAAAGTTCTGGTCTACTTAAGGTAACCATCTATATGCAAAGAGATTAAGCTGAGGGATATGACCTGGTTAAGTAGGAGTAGGAAATGAGGATGATAGTAATGACATGGTGAGACATCATAACAGCAAAATCTTTTCTTCTGGTCTCCCATGCAAGCAAACTCTTTGTTGGATTTATTGACTCACTTCAACTCTTGATTAGGCCAAGCGTGAAAGTAGAGTTTTACATCGTAGGCCCATGGCTCGTGATAAAGGAATTTTAGAACGAAAATCTCACAGGCGCCATAGTACAAGAATTTCCATAGAGACTCCTTGCATTTGACGATCTTAGCCCTAGTAGCAGCATCATTGATCTTAATTGGCGCAGCAGAAGTACTGCTCAATAGCCATACAGCTATCCTCTGTGGAAAGATTCAAAAAGACAAATGTAACATCGATTTCTCAATACGAATCAACCATCAATATCTATCAATGTTTAGGCGGTGGTTAACCGTTTTGTAGAGGATTATTGGTTAGGCGGACTAGTAGACCGATTTTTTGAGCGAAATGATTTTTTAAAACTCAAAAATCAGTTTTAAAAAATCATTTCGCGAATACCCGATTTACCAACTAGGCGCCAACAATACCGGTTTTTAGAACACTGATATCTATGAATCCCATTGTTGATACATCCACAATTTTTATCAAGTAATAATCAAACTAATACATGATCATCATCATCATCATTCATCACATACAGAAAGATGATAAAAACGCAAATGAATTACAAGAAAGAGAGAGATAGCTTACTTACTTGAAAGACAAATGTGTCGAGGAAAAGCCTCAGAAAGAAGAATCCGAAGGCGAAATAGATAGCAATCTGGAAATGCCATGCACCAATCGACCCTTCAAGATACCTTACGCCGGCGTCGTCGTCTCCACCGCTATAATGCACCGATTCCATGTCGTTAAAGAATGAGAGAGAGAGAGAATCGATGAGAAAGTTTTCTCCTTTATTTGTTTAGGAAGAAGAGAGAGATTCGCTGCACGTTTGTAATCTATGGGGCTCCTGAAAGCGAGCGACAGATGGATCTCGCTACGACGACGGACCTTTACTTTTTTTTTTTTCAAATAATGTTTTTGGCTCTTTGCTTTTTTCAGACAACGCACGGTTCGTGTTATCAAAGATGGTTACCATCTTCTAACTAAACCATTAAATGTAACAATATGTTGTCACTGTCTTTAAACCAAAACTAGATTTCGACCCGCATAACCGTGCGGGTATATATTTTTATGTTTTTATCTAAATATTTTTTTTATGGGTTAAAATAGATATTTTTTAATGTTACTCACAGATTTATATGTTTGTATAATTATTTGAAATATAATAATTTTATAGTTTTTATGTTGTAAATTCAAATGATCACATATATATGTTTCTTCTTATTATATATTTTTATTGAATTTGCATGTGATTATTAAATCATATTTTTATGTATGAAACAACATATTTGACAATTTTTTGTTTATAATTTATTATAATCGAAACCCATAATTTAAAATGATATATTAGCTAATTTTTAGATTTATTCAGTTTATATAACAAATTACTGTATATAAAAAGTTTAGATAAACTGACTTTTATACATGAATTATATAGTTTACGAATGTTAATCCTTTCTACGATCATATTATATTTTAGAATAAATATATTAACTTATTATTTTAAAAACGTTATCCTATTTAGTTCAATATAATAGTTTTCTTTTAAAATGATGGATATTAGTAGAAGATAGATAAAATAGATAAAATAGGTTTTATTTTTTCATTATATAAAATATAGTTGAATATATATATATATATATATATATTGATGTATAATAACATTTCATGACTAATTATGAAATTAGTGAAAATATTTATGTTCAATTTTTGAAAATTAAGATCTTGTTATAAATTTTTTCAACAGATTTGCTAGAAATTATACACACACACACACACACATATATATATATATATATATATTTAAAATATCAAAAGATATCTTATATATTAAAAGAGAAGTCATGACTTTACTTCATTTGTGATATTTTAAAATGGACCATCTAATAAAACTTATAACATTACATTATTCAATCATTAATAACATTTATTAGATTCACTAATAATATTTATTGGGCTTACTAGAAATTTTTATTGGGCTAATAAAAATTAGATTATCCATTAGATTTATAGATATTATAATAAAATATACGTTTAAATTAAACTTATATAATTTAATATTGTAATAGTTTAAGTTAATTATTTATATATTTTTATGTTAATTTTAAAAATTATATAGTTTACTTTTAAAAATAAAAAAAAATCATCATTTTCTAACAATAATTAATCTATACTATATAATAATTAATCATCATTTTCGATATACACACCTTATATAATATATACCAATTTAGAAGTAAAAAATATTTATATAAAAATAAATGAAAACAAATATCCGCGCGGTTGCGCGGGTTGAGATCTAGTTATGATTAAAGTAGTTAAAATATTTTATATTATTAGCAATAATGATATACAATTATTAAAAAAAAAAAGTGATGGTCTAAATAAAAATATCACATATAAAAGAAATCATAAACTTTATTTTAATAGAATATATATATATATATATATATATATATGTGTATATATATATGTATATATATATATATATGTATATATTTAAAACAATTAAAACAAAATAAATATTTATTTGAACACATCTGTTAAAATTATTAGTAGAATGTAATTTGAAATTAATCAATTTCATTTTTTATTATAAGTGAATATGATTAAAATATTGATTTTTTAATATTCGTTTATAAACCAATATAGGAAGAAAATATTTGTTTAGTTATAAAATAATTATATAAAATTTAAAATTATATTGTTTAGTTATACACTACAGTTTGCAAGCAAATATTTTAAATTTTTATTTAGTTATACAATAGAATATATATTTGTTTAAGATCATTTATATTTCTGGTTGTGTTTCAAATATATAATTTAGCATCTATAATTTTAGTATATAGAAATTTTATATAAAAAGTTATATTGTTATATTCAAATAATTTGACTAATAATTACGAAATTAATTAATGCATTATTATATAAAATATATAAATTGTTTGTAAGATTTTCTTAGATTCTTTTTCAACAGAATTTATATAGTTAGAAATAAAATTAAAACAATTTTATAGGTGAAGTTGTTATATGTGTTGATTAAATAAGATGGGATATTTTAATGATATCAATATGTTAATAAAAAATAAATGAAATAAGATTTTCTAAAGAAGGTCCATTTTTAAAAAATATCACACATGAATAGAAGTTGTGACTTCTCTTTTAATATAATAGATTGCTGAAAAGAAAATGACTTGTTAGTCTCAATTATTGATTTATTTCTAACCATTTCATAATTTACTTTTAAAGTCTGCCCTACGGGCGTATTAACAAATAATATAAATTACTTAAAATGTAATTTATCTTTAACTTAAATTAAAATTAATTTTCATGTTTTTATTAAAACAATTTATCTATTTATTTGACTATTTATTTTTAAAATAGTAAACTTATTAATTATTAAAAAAAATTTAGGAAATTATTTCTTTACTTTTTAATGTTTTTTAAACTAACTATTGTATTAGTTAAAATAGTTTTTAAAAATTGCTCAATAAGTTTAGTAAAATTATAAGTTATAACTAATCAGCAGTGCCAAGTTTAAATTACAAAAAAAAAGTTAAAAGTGAGTATTACTATAAAAAATTATACATTTTTGTTTGAGTATTAAATATATTATTATGATCTTAGAAATAATTACATAATCTAAGTAACCCATGATTAGAGGTATAAAAATAATTGGTACTCGAAAATTAGCATAATTACATGCTAAAGTGTTTTATAATAATTTTGGATTATACAATATTTATTTAATCACATTTATTATTTTCAATAAGAAGTTTGTAAACTTAAAATATTAGAAAGTAAATATATTAGTATAAGTAAATTTATTTACTATATTATTCTAATGTTTTTTGTATATATTATATATTTTAAAATAAAAAGGCTAACTATTTTATAGTTATTGCAAAGAAATATCTCATAGCATTAAATGTTAGTTTGTGCTTCACATTGATCTATGGATTTAAGAAGGCCATAAAAAAGAATCATCTGTATCTCAGAACGTTTCAGTTACTAAAAATGAATACAAAGAGACTCAACTGAAGATTGATCTGAGTCAAAAAATCTCTCAAAACACCATTGAAGGTTACTGATTTATTTTATATATAATAATTTTATATATAATACGCTAAAGTATTTTATAATAATTTTATATAATATTTATTTAATCAGATTTATTATTTTCCATAAAAAGTTTGTAAACTTAAAATATTAGAAAGTAAATATATTAGTATAAGTAAATTTATTTACTATATTATTTTAATGTTTTTTAATATTTGATCTATAGTAAAATATAAAGTCTAACCATTTTATAGTTGTTGATACACCGCCTTGCAGAGGAATATAATCTCACAGCATTAAATGTCAGTTTTCGCTTCACGTCGATCTATGGATTTAAGAAGGCCATAAAGGGGAAGCATCTGTCTGAGCGTTTCAGTTATTAAAAGTGAATACAAAGAGACGCAACTGAAGATTGATCAGAGTAAAAAAAATCTCAAAACATCATTGAAGATGACAAATTTATTCTATATATAATATGTTTATTATATATTCTGACTCAATTTAAAATCAATTTTTTATATATAATATGCTTTGTTTTATAATAATTTTGGATTATTTAATATTTATTTAATCAGTTTTGTTATTTTCAATAAGAAGTTTGTAGACTTAAAATATTAGAAAGTTAATATATTAGGTAAATTTATTTACTATATTATTTTAATGATTTTTTTTAAATATATGATCTATTATAAAATAAAAAGGCTAACAATTTTATAGTTGTTGATACACCGCTTTGCAGAGGAATATCTCATAGCATTAAATGTTAGTTTGTGCTTCACGTCAGTCTATGGATTTAAGAAGACCATAAAGGAGAAGCGTATGTATCTCAGAGCGTTTCAGTTACTAAGAGTGAATACAAAGTGACGTGGCTGATGATTGATTTGAGTCAAAAAATCTCTCAAAACACCATTGAAGGTGACAGAGAACTAGACGATCATTTCTTGTTCGCCACAGACCAAATGGAAGAGAAGAACCGTAAACTTCCATGTTTCGTGAAACATAAAATTAGGGTTGTCTGTGCAACGCTCTCGGACTGTCTCCACATCAAACTATAAGCCCAATAACACAAACGAAATAAGCCCAAATACACGAAATATATGACTTAATGAAACACAAATTTTAAAAAAATTTCACACGTGACGTGTTTTTAGAGCACAAATTAGTGACGTGACACCATAAAATAAAAGAAAAGCTTACTTTATAATAATAGATACCTCCAACCATATACTTTTCTTTATGTAAATTTGTTCTTATATTATCATCTAAGTGACTTTTGCATATCAATTTATATAGCCAGCCATCTCCAATCACGTTTGAGCCAAAAGAAAAGAGAGAAAATTGAATTCAGTATACATTGACTTTGTTGCGTTATTAGTAGAAGTGGGTATTTGGGTTTAAATTCATATTCGGATTAGATTTGGTTCGGTTTAGTTTGTTTGGGTGTAAGAAAAAAACTATGGTCAACCAATATTACTTTGGTTTGTGTTCGATTTGGTTTATGTTCAGTTTGGTTCGGTTTGAGGTGAATTTTGTTTTGTATTCAGTTTTGTTTATGTTGCGTTCAGTTTTGTTCTATTTTATTTGTGTTTTTTTCAGTTTAGTCGAATTCATTTTTAGTTTGTTTTAATTTGGTTACGAAAATATATAAAATATATACAATATAAATATATCATCATTTGACCCGATAATATTAATTTCTTCATATTTAAAATGAAACCAAAAATTAAATAAAACATAGAAGATTTAATCCAATAATTTAAAATTATTGTTTTCAATCTAATATATATATCATAGTTAATCTCCATTTTTATGGTAGTGTTGAAATTCATATTCTTATATTTTACTGTTAGTTTTGTTTTGCTATTCATTTAGAACTAAAAATTATATTAAGCCACTTAGGTTAAATGGCTAAATATCTCAAGTTAAATATTATCAGTATATTTAGTTAATCAATACACATTACGATGATGATCCACGTATATCATTCTGCATAACGTTCATCAGTTGACATGACAAAAAGCTCAGATTATGCAAGATTACTAACAGTGGCTAAGAGGGTGCAAGAGAAATTTTTGGAAACTAGTGATGATTGCTGTTAAGTCTTGTGCACTTAGAGCACCTCCAATGAAAGATTTTACTCATTGGAATTCTTAAGATGTATATGTATATATGTATATGTTGTATAAATGTATGTAGGTATGGGGTCCATTATAGAGAACCCCACCTTAAAGGAATCATTAACTTCGGTTTCTTAACCGTGGTTCTTAATTCATGATTTAACCTTTTTATTTATATTTTCAAAAAATGACTCTTATATCTTTTATTTAAAAGACTGCTCTTATATTTTTTATTTAAGAGACAGTTCTTAATTTTCCTTAATTAAAATTTAAAAAATTAAGAATCGATTTTTAGCGAAAATTAGAAACAGTCTCTTAGCCAAAACTGAAAACCTCAGTTAAGAAAATGGATTAGATGGTCTAAAGGTTCTTAAAACCCCAATTTTCATAATCTTTGTATCCGCGCCAATGCTTAAAAATGGGCAAGCGTAAAGTCCAAGGCTCTTGCCCAGTCCATTGTCAAAGACTCGCACACACTATTATCATCCTAAATCATCTCTCATTATGATAAATCTTCCCGCTTTGGTTTTCAGTCATCTCTCATGTTCATGTGATTGGTCAACTGTCTCTGACAGTCTGACTCTACATGAAGTTGTATTTAATTACATCCAAAACTATATTTTTGTTATTAATGTAATGGAACAAGAACATGGAGAATCGAATAGAATCACGAGTACGTCAACAGATTCGTCATATTAGTTTAAGTTAGTGCCCTTGGCGGCTAAACCATGTGAATCACGAAGTAGTAGACTTGCATTATTTTCAAGTTTACATATTTTGAAGAAACAAAGTGCACTACATAGGTCCCCTTGGATTCGAACTCAGTATCCGCGACACTACTAGTTAGAGTAACCAAATGGTAATAGTGTGTGATTATTGATTACATAAGCGAATGATTACATAGACTTTATGATGGTTTCATGCTCACACAATACGTTGGTATAACGTGGCGGGAGTAGATGTTTCTTTGAATAAAAAAATAGCAAATAAGCAAACATTGTAATGATCCCAAATGAGGAAAGTAAATAAATTTCTGTATTTGGAAGTGATCTTAGACTCCACGCAACAGTGCTGTTCATTATTTTGTTTTGAAGAGTGGTGGTGTATTTTCATTGGCTTGTAACCAAGATGGGCACCCAAAAAGAAAGCACCACAACTTCTATATGATGAAGACACTTTTAAGTATATAAAAGCTACAAAATAATGTAAATATATCTAGAGACAATAACTTCACTAATCCAAAGAATAAATATCTATATCATCATATGATTTACATTAATCACTTTTAATACGAGTTATAATTGTATCTAGTCCCCCTTCCTTTCTATCTTTAATCTGAAGTTTAAATAACATTTATGTATGATCCAATCTAAAGCTCAAAAAATGGTTAGACAATATCTAAACGATCTATATAAACCTTGCGACTAAACGGATTATTAGTTTTAAAAAGAACCAAACAAACTTGTGGACTTCACTAACCTTCTTGCTTGATTTAACTTATTTAGATCATTTGAGACCGATTTGAACCGACTGGATCATTTTAAGACGATTTCAACCAATTTAAAACAATTTACAAAAAAACTCATTTCGATTAAAACTGATGTTGTCTAGAGGGCAGGTGTCTGCCACCTATACCAGTATTTAGAACAATGTTGAATAAAACATTTTTCAATCAAACTTATTGTCAACAATTTTGGAAACAGTTAATCATTTAAAATAATAGCCTGTTTGTATATATTGCAAAGCTACCTGTAATTTTGGGGTTGTTGAAAAATACAACTAATTTTTTTTTCTGTTACTAAGATAAGTTTTATATTTGAAAAATTGTTTTAAAAGTGAACTTATAAAGTTTTACGTATTTAGGTTACTTAATATTGATAAATTGTACGGAATTCAAATGTAATTCAATTAATTAAATTATTATATAGTTTAAAGTTATTAAAACTCTTAATTATATAATATAATTTATTTCTAATATGTGTAAAAAAGGTAAAAAAATATATTAATTTTACAATAGTCACATTATTAATAGACCAAAAACAAAGAAAATTCATTTTTATGATTTAACTCCCAGGAAAAAAAAAACACAATCTCCAACCACTCAAATCCTCACTTTCAGAAGGCAAAAACCAAACGAACGTCTACGTTTTCCCACGTTACGCTATCTGACTGGCTGATAGTTACAAGCATTTTAAAACCTTAAGATGTTTTATTATTATTCGCCCACGTAGCACTATCTAGACATAAATAATTGATCTTTAATTATAACTAGAGTTTCACCCGCACATTCGTGCGGGTATATTTTTTATTTTATAAATATATAACTAAAATTTTTAAATATATGATTTATATTTTAGCTTTAACTATAATTATATCTAATAAGTAAATAAAGAAATACCTATTTATAAAAAAAATATTTAAATTTTTGGTAAGATCGATTTTTTCAACAGATTTTTTTTTATTTAAATTCATTTATTATTAATATATTTATTAATTATTAAGATATTTTTAAAATAATATATATTTGACAATGTAACAATCAAATATGTCAAATTAAATAATTAATGACATGGTCCAATATGACTTCTAAATAGTAGATAAATTTGGTATTTCTCTTTTAATAGAGAAGATTATATTGTAAAATATATAATTACAACAAAATCTAGTAAAAAAAAAAATTCCACAAAGAAAAAAAAAAAGGCTTTCACCCTTAAAATGGCTGCTCGTGTCGTGGCCGTGGCAACACACTTGTCGTCGCTCCCAACAGCTTCTCTGGCGTTTTCGGAGTCGAGAATCTAAATTTTTTCGAGAAATCTAATTTGGTAAGATAAACAAATATCATCTCTTTTTTAAAAAAAATTATCTTTTGTTATCCGTTTGGTTATATCTATCTGGATCTGTCTTTGTCGGATCATCTACTTCGCCAATTATTGCTGTTGCTTGATATCTGTTTTTGTTTTTGTTGTTGTTGTTGTTGTTGTTGTTGTTGTTGTTGTGTGTTTCTGAATCAGACAAAAGTAGTAAAGAACTAATCTTTGGTAGTGAAACTAGAGCTATGTCGATTTTATTCATGTTTAGGGTTACTTTCAGTATGGAATCTGGGATAGATCTCTCTCATACTTGTTGTTGGGTTTCATGAAAGCAATCGACTTTAAGATTAAAGTTTCGTTCTTTCCAAATTAATTTTCTGGGTTCTGAAGACACAGATAAGATGTGACTAGTGATTTGTTCAAATTATATCTGTATAGTGTTTGGTGATAATGTTCATATGTGGTTTTTAGAGAACAGTGTATCTGGTATGACTTCGTTTACATTTTTTAAATTAGAAAACGTTATCTTAAAACCTGCCATTATTGGTTGACCTTTTACTTTGCTTTTACATTTGTACACACACATTTATGTGCTTTGCTTCTCTTTACCTACTCGTATATTAATGTGACACATAGGACAGTCCTTGGAACTTCTTTGTAACATGGTCCCTTACCATTGTGTATTCCACTCTAATTTGGTCTTTTACCTCTCAAAAGGAAGCTAGAAGAAAGCCTTTGAAGAAGAAACACAAGAAGTATGGGAACTCACTTCAATTTCAGCAACTTAGGAGGAGGTGGTGGAGGTGAAGGAATGAAGCCAACAGATACTACCAATCCCTTGGCGAGACAGTCCTCGCTTTACTCACTAACCTTTGATGAGCTACAGAACACATTAGGTGGACCAGGAAAAGATTTCGGGTCGATGAACATGGATGAACTCCTGAAGAGCATATGGACTGCTGAGGAAGCTCAGGCCATGACCATGAACTCATCAGCTGCTGCTGCTGCTGCCACAGCTGTAGCTCAACCCGGTGGTGGTATCCCTCTCCAGAGGCAAGGCTCGCTGACATTGCCTAGAACGATTAGTCAGAAAACTGTTGATGAGGTCTGGAAATGTTTGTTCAACAAGGACGGTAATATGGTAGGAAGCAGTGGTGGTGAGTCTAATGCGCCTCAGAGGCAACAGACTTTAGGGGAAATAACACTTGAGGAGTTTCTGTCTCGCGCTGGAGTTGTAAGAGAAGATAACTGTCCTCAGCAGGTGGGTGGAAACAACAACAACAACAATGGGTTTTATGGTAACAACGGAGCTCCTGGAGGATTAGGCTTTGGTTTTGGTCAACCAAATCAAAACAACATATCATTCAATGGTACTAATGATTCTATGATCATGAAGCAGCCACAACACCAGTTTCAACAACAGTCACAACCCCAGTTGCAGCCACGTCCACAGCAACTGAACCAGCCGCATCCTCCACAGCAGCAGCAGCACCAGCACCAGCGGCTGCCTCAAGCCATTTTTCCTAAACAAGCAAACGTAGCATTTGCTGGGACTGCGAATAATGCCAGCAACAATAACAATAATGGATTAGCTAGTTTTGGAGGTGGGGTCACTGTTGCAGCAACGTCTCCTGGGACAAGTAGCGCAGAGAATAATTCTCTGTCACCAGTTCCTTATGTGCTTAACCGAGGAAGAAGAAGCAATACGGGTCTAGAAAAGGTTATTGAGAGGAGGCAAAGGAGAATGATCAAGAACCGAGAATCAGCTGCTAGATCAAGAGCTAGGAAGCAGGTGAGTATTATTCTAACCAAACTGTTATATAAAATCAGCAAAGATTTGATCTGCTGAACCACTTGTAATATTAAAATGTTTTTATTAATGTCCATTAAATTGCAGGCTTATACCTTGGAACTGGAAGCTGAAATTGAAAAGCTCAAGAAAGTGAATCAAGAATTGCAGAAGAAACAGGTATCTTTCGTTTCTTTTTCCAGCTTCTCTCTCTCAGAATATTGCAGCTTGGTTCTGATACTGTGCTTCCTCTATTTTGCAGGCTGAGATGATGGAAATGCAGAAGAATGAGGTATTTACTGAGAACTTTATTTGTTTTTATAAATTCATCTACAAAACACTGACTCTCTATCATCATTTTTTTTTTAAAAAAAAAACAGATTTGAAAAAAACATAAAAGGTCTAATAGTTGATTCTGTTGAATCTGATTTTATAAGTTCATCTACAAAACACCGACTCTGCATCCATCAGACTTTTGTGTCAGTAACTACTGCTGAATCTGATTCTGTTGTTCACTACTGATTCTTTTGAATTGGCAGCTGAAGGAATCGTCCAAGCAACCGTGGGGCAGCAAAAGGCAATGCTTGAGAAGGACACTAACCGGTCCATGGTGAAATCAGAAGGAAGCAACTAAGAACCGATCAAACAAGACACCACTTTGCATGGACTAATGTAATAGGAGATAGTGCTACCTGTACAGGAGATTAAGAGAAATTTTATTGAGTGGAAATCTTAGGTTACAGAGTAGGAGAAATTTTCATTATGAATAAAGACATTGCATTAGTCTAGTTTAGATAGTACTATGTTTTCTGTGTTTCTAGTCTGTTTGGGTATTATAAAAGACATCCTTGTTTATATATATGTTGACTATTTAATAGGGCATCTGATTACTCCTAAAGACATCTCCGGTAGAGATCTGTAAAATAGAGAAAAAAATTAGAAATGTGGCTTTTGCTCTAATGTGTTTTTTTATAATAAAAAAACTAGACTTTAACAGTGCGAATATATTTTTGTTTAAGTAATTTAATGTTTTGTTCCATATAATGAATATATAATAATTTATAATTTTATTTATATATTTATACTAAATTAAACAATATATATTAATATATAATATATTTATATTTTAATATTTTATATAAATTTACTTAAATATAATTATATAAGAAGAAATATAGAATAATTTATCTATTTAACCCATTTCCTTATATTTTTGATATTTTCTAATAAAAATAAATTATATTTTTGTATATATATCTAATGGTCAAAGTTTATTTAATAATTTTCTAATTTAAATAAGCTAAATTTCTATTATTTAATTACAAACATAACACATCAACTGTAAACTAAAAAAACACATAATTAAATAATATACTTTTTTTACTTTTTATAATTTATTTTTATAAAAGTTAAGTTTTATCTTTTCTAATTTTTATATTTCAAATTTCTAAATTAAAATATTATATTATAAAAATATTTATTGTTTTTAATTTAAAGTATAAATAATATATATTTCGAATATTGTATTATTAATTACGAAATTAATTATTTATTTAAAATTACTAACCAAAATATTCAAAAATAAATAATATTATAATAGAATATTTTATGTGTGATGGTATATTTTATTCAAATAATCTAAGATATAAATAGTATGTTTATTATAATAAAATTAGTAATGAAATAGTCCAATGATTTTTTATGAGTAGATAAAAATATGACTATATTTTAGTAGATTAGACTAGATTTTGATCCGCTTTTTTAAAGTACATAAATATTTTTTGTTGACAAATTTGTTAACATGTCTCGTTGTTCTACAATGTGCTTAGACTCCGAGATTTGGTTACGGTTTAGTTCCAATTTTTTAGTTTTTGGTTCAATTCTAGTTTGCTTGTGGGTGTCATTTTTTTGGTTCAAGAGAAATATGAACTATTTTGGTATTCATGAATTTGAGTTCGGTTTCGAGTTAGCTATTAAATTTCTCGATTTGGTTCAAACAATGTTAGGGATTTAATAAAGTTTTAAGTTTATCTCGGTTCTTTTTGAATAATTTTTAACAGTTCAGTAAAAAATCACATTGTAAGGGTATTATTGATATAATATGGATATGTTTATTCTTACAAAACACAATAAAGGTAATTTAGTTTTCAATTTATAACACTTTATAGTATCAATATATACATATGGGCTTTGTTTAATTTCATTTTAAAACACGAAGTGGGCTTCAGACAATATTGGACTGGTCCGAAAATTGTCAATTCTGAAAAAAAAAAAAAAAATTGTCTGAATAAACAATAGAGTAAAGTTTTCCAGAAGAAGAAAAAAAATCAGAAATCGATGTCAAAAAAAAAAACAAAAAACAAACCGATATAATTCTCTCTCTCTCTATCCAAAGAGATGATTCTGGAAAATCTCATCAAATCATCTTTTCCATTTCAAAGAAAGAAAAACAATCAGATGAAGATCGATGGAGTAGTTAAAAGAGCTAATATTTCAAGAAAGAAATCTTTCAAACACGCATCCACCTCACGATTCGTAAGTGTTTTTTTGTTTATAGATTTCTGGTTTCTTAAAATTTTGTTTCAAGCTCTTACTCTATATATATATTTTGTCATGCAAAAATATATCAGATCGTGTTAACCAAATCGATCAAAAGTACAACAATAAGAAATCATTCATTGGTCCAAAAAAATTTTATTTTGAGTTTTAAACTCAAAGATTTTGCATGTGGTTCTTTGTTCTCAAATAAGGATTTTACTTATAATTAGATAACTAAACGGTTTTAAGAGTTTGGATCTAATAAATAGATATAATGATTGTAAAATGATATATAATGATTGTAAAATGTTATAATGATTGTAAAATGATATAATGGTTGTAAAATTTACCAACAAAATAGTCCAATGACTTTTATCAGTAGATAAAAATATGACTATATTTTAATAGACTAGACTAGATTTTGATCAGCGTTTTCAAAGTACGGAAATATTTTTTGTTAACAAATTTGTTAACGCGTTTTCAATGGTTTCCGGTTCAGTTCCAATTTTTTTAGTTTCTTGTTCAATTCCAGTTTGGTTGTGGGTGTCGTTTTTTGGTTCAAGAGAAATATGAACTATTTTGTTATTCATGAAATTGAGTTTGGTTTCGATTTAGCTATTTTATTTCTCGATTTGGTTCAAAAAATGTTACGGATTTAATAAAGTTTTAAGTTTATCTCGGTACTTTTTGAATAATTTTTAACAGTTAAGCAAAAAATCACATTTAAGGGTAGTATCGTTATAATATGGATATATTTATTCTTACAAAACTCAATAAAGGTAATTTAGTTTTCAAATTTATAACACTCTATAGTATCAATACACACATTTGGGCTTTGTTTAATTTCATTTTAAAACACGAAGTGGGCTTTAGACAATATTGGACTGGTCCGGAAATTTTGTCAATTCTGAAATAAATAAAAAATTGTCTGAATAAATAATAGATTAGGGTTTTCAGAAGAAAGAAAAATCAGAAATCGATGTCATAAAAACAAAAAAACAAACCGATATGATTCTCTCTCTCTATCCAAAGAGATGATTCTGGAAAATCTCATCAAATCATCTTTTCCATTTCAAAGAAAGAAAACAATCAGATGAAGATCGATGGAGATCGATGGAGAAGTTAAAAGAGCTAATATTTCAAGAAAGAAATCTTTCAAATACGCATTCACCTCACGATTCGTAAGTTTTTGTTTTGTTTATAGATTTCTGGTTTCTTAAATTTTGTTTCAAGCTCTTACTCTATTTATATTTTGTTATGCAAGAATATATCAGATCGTGTTAACCAAATTGATCAAAAGTACAACTATAAGAAATCATTCCTTGGTCCAATGTTTTTTTTATTTTGAGTTTTAAACTCGAAGATTTTGCGTGTGGTTTTTTGTTCTCAAATAAAGAATTCGCTTATAATTAGATAACTAAACGATTTTAAGAGTTTGGATCTAATCAAATGATATATAAGATTTCGTTAGGTAGTATTAATGATCTTTTACAAATCAACTAATTTGTAATTCATTTTATACAAATACTTCCAAGAACTCATGGCCTCTATTGGTAAGGTTTAAGGTTAAGTGTTCTACATATATCAATTTATTTGTAACATATTTGCAACGAAAATACTTGTTTTTGTTGTTTCTCTTGATAAAATTATTTCACCCATGAGCATATATATGTTTTGTTCTACACATTGGGTAGACCCTCTTTATGGTTAATTAATATTTACTTGTATCCTTTAGTTAGAACATTGAGAAAATATTTAGTTCCATATTAATGTAGATATGTAGTGTTTATATACATACTCCCATACAAATATAGTGAGTTAGAGGTACATGTGTATATTAAAATGAAGATGTAGTCGAGACTAATATGCTAAGGATTTGATGTTACGTTATAAAATTAACTATCATTGTAGAGAATATTTTTTACGTTACAAAATAAGTGTCGTTTTCGGTTTTCAATGCAAAATTTATTAATTGTATTATGTACTTAATTTTTCTATTGGTTAAAATATGGTTAGGTGTATTAGTAATTGTGTTTTTATATAGGAAATATGTAAAATTAATTATTTCTTTAATCTGGATGCACAGTTGTAGAGTGACACTTATAATGAAACAGATGGAGTATAAAATTAGAAGAGATAAATATAACCGGAATGCGATTTATTAGGTTAGTTAAATGGTCTCTTTTTCATTACATATATTATTGTTAGTGACTTTTTTTATTTTTAAAACAAATCTGATGAAACAAAAAGTAATATACCAAGAAAGAGTAATGATAATTTTATAAAATAAATCATGTTTTAATAGTATTTATACATTGGAATATCTATATTTTTTCTTCTGTTTCAGAAAACTCTATTATATAATTAGACTGAAAATGATTTAATAGTAACAACTAAACATTTATTAGACAAATCAAAATAAAACAATCAAGTTAAGTGTATTAGTATTTTGTTTTATTAAACAAACAAAATAAAACAAAATAAAACAATCAAAAATTATTATCAGATATAATTTAACTATATAAAATTAAAAATAGCATTTTGATTTATTAAATGTTGATGTATTTTTATATTTGTAAACTTAATCTTAAATATATGCATATTAGATCACCTTTTATATCTTGTTGTTTGATATATTTTCATAACTATTAGATCTGCTTTTCACAAATTACTAAAACCATAAAGATTAATAACTAGTACTCCCTCCGTTTCAAAATATATGTCATTTTAGATTTATCTTTTTTGTCACAAATTAAGTGTCGTTTTAAAGTTTCGAGGCAAAATTTATTAGTTTTATATAATATTTGATTTTTCTATTGGTTGAAAAGTGGTTAGGTGTATAGGTAATTGTGTTTTTATCTTAGAAATATGTAGAATTAAATATTTTCTTAATCTGTGTGCAAAAGCTTAGAATGACAAATAAAGTGAAACAGAAGGAATAGATTTGCTTCACTATATAACCAGAATTTGTTTTTACAAAAAAAAAAAAATTACCACTAAAAGTAACTGTGAGATTCGGTTACTAAATGCAAAAGAGAAAAGGTATATATATATGTATGATCAGATGTTCAAAAACCCTAAAGCGCGTTTGCGTCTCCCAAACCTGCCGCCACCGCCGCCATAATTGATCCTGGTATTGCTCTCCTTCATGCTCTCAAATTCAAGCATTTCCATCTCTTTAGCCATATGAAACCGTTTCGTAATCATTTGAGTAGAATCTTAAGGTTTTAAGATTGTAATCTCCGAATTTGATTATTGTTTGTAGAGTAATGGATTCGAATTACTCCGATCCTCGCCCCATGTTCGTGCAATCGCCTTACGGTAATGCTTGGAATCAAACTCAGACGAATGATCCGATGAACAACGAACAATCTGAATCTCAACCGTTTTTGAAACGGCCAAGAATTCAAAATGATACGGTGTTTAACAACAATTCATGGATGGTTCCATCGTTGAACAACGCTCCTCCTATGAACAAAGGGACGGCTAACATCTTCTACAAGACGAGGATGTGTGCAAAGTTCAAGGCAGGGACTTGTATGAATGGAGATTTTTGCAATTTTGCACATGGTGTGGAGGATATGAGGCAGCCTCCTTCTAATTGGCAGGATATTGTTGGTCCTCCTCCTCAAGAGAGGGGGAGGGAGAGAGTGTCTTCTTCTTCGGTGTCTGGTGGTGGTAGTAACTGGGAAGATGATCAGAAGATAATCTTGAGGAATAAGCTTTGTAGGAAGTTTTGTTATGGTGAGGAGTGTCCTTATGGTGATAGGTGTAATTTCCTTCATGAGGATCTTTCTAAGTTCCGTGAGGAGTCTGGGAAGTTGAGAGAGAGTTCGGTGATAAGTGTTGGTACTGAGCCAGTGTCTGTTGAGAATGGTGGTGGTATTGGTTCTCAACATGTTGATGTGAATAGACGAGGAGGTGGTGTCCCTGTACCTATGAACAATGGTGTTGTTAAGACTGTGTATTGGAAGACTAGGATATGTATGAAGTTTGAGAATGGTCAGTGTCCTTTTGGTGATAACTGTCACTTTGCTCATGGCCAAGCAGGTAATGTTATCATCCTTTGTATTTAGCCTTTATGATGATGTTCTTGTGTTTATGATTTTGGTTGTTGCAGAGCTGCTGCATCACTCTGTTGGAAGGGTTGATGGAGAAGCTGTAAATGGAGTAGCGGCGTTGAGTAAACAAACGGTGGTGTCTGCAAACGAAGTATTTGCGGTGAAGCCTAATGCAGCACAAGTAGTGACAACAGATTCTTCTGGCCTTGACGATGAAGGGAGACGAAAGAAGTGTTTGCTCAAGTGGAGTGACTCCAAGAAGATTAACCGGATTTATGGAGACTGGATTGATGATTTACCAGTGGGTCAAAAGTCGACAAAACCAGTGGAGAGCTGAGTCTTTTAGAGTTCTGGTTCCATTTGTCTTGGTGAATATTTTGAAACAGTAGAATAATCTTTTATCTTGGTTTCATTAACAATTCTTTGATTGGCTATTATTCTTGATGAACTAAAAATATATACAGCTCAGGATTTCAATGAAGTTCCAATCTTTGATTACATAAATGGCTTTGATCACAAAGAGCTTCCATCATCATTTTTATAGTACATTAAGGTGCCTTCCAAAACTGAGTTTCCTCACGGCCCATATCATAGCTCAGTTTGATTTTTGGTTACCTTTTTCAAAATGATTTGATGAAACAAGCCATCATCAATGACAATGTATTCTTTTTGTGAGTTTGACCATGTAGCCGAATCATTGATTTTTGACCATAAAGTGTTTATGGGTCCATCAAATAATGTGTAACTGAAATATTAAAAAAAAAAACACTAGAAGGAAAGAAAAGTATGCTAGAAACACAATAAAGAAGATAAATTAACAAGAGCCTCTACATCACATAAAGCAGAAAATACACTAATGGCATTTCATTACATAGGGTCCGAATGGTAACCGCGGATTTAGTAATATAAGCGGGACGGAATTAAAGTGCGGTACGGTTCAACTGCGGTTCGCGCGGTTTGTGGAATAAGTGCGGTTTTGATAAAAAAAGTAGTGCGGTTTTGATAAAAAAAGAAGTGCGGTTTTGATAAAAATAAAATAAAGTAAATTATATAAGATATTTTTTACTATAGAATTACTCATTTGAATATATAATTCTAATAAAATAAATAATTAAATAAACAGCACAACTAAAATTTATTTTGTTTGTTAAGTGATAATGTCATAATTGTAAAAAAAAAATCATAAGATAAAAACTATTAATGGTTTGATTTGGTTTAATTTGATTTAATGATATTTTATAAAATTTGCAACTTAATCTTTGTGTATTATACTAAAACATCAAACAAAATGAAACGTAAACAAAAGTTAAATATTTGGACTATTACATAATTATTTTAAATAAAACTTAAGTGTGTATAAAACTTAACATATGACAAAATGTAAATCAATTGTTTTGAAAAAGATCAAAAGCTTAACTCTTACACACGGTCTTATAAAACATGCACCAAAGATTTTGGTCCAAAATACATATAACGAGTTTATAGTATATTCGTTTGTATTGGTAACATAAAAGTAGTGTTAAAATTAAAAAAAAAAAAGAATGTTACATAGGTGGCGTTATTTCTCAAAACCACACATGTTTGCATGTATTCACGGTTTTACTGTAGGTGCGTTTTTATGTGAGGCATCGAAGTCTGTGCACATGTTTACTTTTTACTGTTGCGGTTTTTATCAAAAACGCACATCAAAATAAAATTTAGGTGATTGGTGTAGTCAAAGCGGTTTTGAAAAAAGTTCTAAATTCTGCACCGCTTTGGGTCGCCATTCATAACCATAGTCACAGCACTCAATAGGTTAAATATGAACAACCTGTTTTAATATCTGTAATGCAGAAAGTTGACTAGCCTTCAGACTAAAAGAAGAAAACGAAAGGATAACTTTAAGCATATCTTCCATTTGCTTTTTAACAACTTTTCCCGACTCAAAAAAGCCAATCAATATGAAGAGACATTAGTGACATACACTTCAATATAATGCATAAAACCTAACTTCTCTATTTTCTTTTCTTAATTCACATTTTTTTCGATCAAAATACAAGAAATGACCACAAAACATATTTTTTTTCCTTCTATTTAAAAAAAGAAACAAAAATTAAAAAAAAAAATCAAAAGGGGACCACTTCGCTGCAGGCGAAATCATCGGAGTTAGCGAAGGAGTAGTCAGGCCACGAGTCTCTCAGAAGCTTCAACAGCTTCTGCGCCTTCCTCTTCGCCCTCTCCGTACACTCACTCTGCACCATCAACAACAACTGCACCACCACCCCCTCCGCCGCCGCCTCCTCTCTCCACCTCTCCTCCGCCGTACAAAGCGCCAGCAACACCCCCGCCGCGTACTCCGTCGCCCGATCCGAAACCCTCAGAATCGTCTTCACGAGCACCGGCACCGTCAGCGCGTGCTCTCCGAACGCCGCACATCCCTCCGGCGACCGGCAGAGAAGCTCCACCGTCGCCAACGCTCTCTCCGTGTCGCACCTGTCCAACCCCGCCGCGAGCCGGTCGATCAGAATCTCCGGCGCGCCGGCGGAGACCGCGACGTGGCGCGTGGCTTTCGAGAGGCAGAGCGCGAATAGCGCTTTGATTCCGATCTTGAGAGCTCGCCGCGGCGACGGCGACGGCGCCGGATTACGGAGAAGATCGAGAACTCCTTCGAAAATAGATTCGGAATTCGAAATTATTACTTTCGATCCCGTCAACACCATCTCGATCAACGCCGCGGCGTTGACACGTGTCTCGATAGAGGAATCGAACAGTAACCGGGTTAAAAACTCGACCCGACCCGGATCCGAAGCTATGGAAACGCACTGGTCATGCTCCGTCATCGGGAACATAACGAGAAGCGCGAGGGATTCCGTAACTAACTCAGACGACGTCGTAGAGTCGTTTTCTTCATTAAACACAATCCTAACGAGAATCTCTTTAGCGTTATGCGCCGCGATCAAAACGCGGTTCTTCTCGGAATCGCGCGCGAAGCCACGCAGACGGCGGAGCGCGGCGGCGCGTGAGCGAGGAGAGACGTGAGTTCCTGAAGTCGCCGAGGCTTGGCTGAGGAGAGCGCGGACGGAGGTGGGGTCGGCGGGCTGTTTGGGGGTAGGGATACGCTCGACGCCGTTGGAGCGGTTAGCGACGCACCATTCTTGGATGAGGCGGCGGAGAGTGTGGTTTGGGATGAGTGTGAAGTCGGTTAGAGGAGCGCGTGTGACCGGACAGGTGGTGTTGTTACCGGTTGAGACCCATGATTCTATGCTGGCTCGGTCGTAGGTTTGACCGGTGCAGACGGTGACCGGGTCACGCATGAGCTCTAGGGAGATTGGACATCTGAAATGGTAGGGTATTTGGATTGATAGATCCAACGGTTCTAAGCGTCTCGGCATTTTAGACGTTCAGAGAGAAAGCTGTGAAGAAGGAGAAGGTAAGAATGTCGTGAGAGTATGAGGAAGAAGGTAACCTTATCTGGCTGTGAACTGAGCTGAGCCCACACGTGTGCCATTTATAGAGTTGTAAAAACTGCTGGAATTTTTTTTGATTAAATAAGTTTAAATTTTAAATAAACATTCATTAAGAATGAGATGCCATCTACGTAATACTATATCCCAAGGGGAAAAAAGTGGCATCTTAGAAGTGAAGCTTAAGGTTTATGTGTGTATACATTTCGTTATGATTATCTTACAGAGTGTATTTGTGTTTTATTATACGTCCAAAACATTATACTATGTCACATAGAAAGGAAGAACAAGTTAATGTAAGAGATATAAAGGTTGACGACCAAAAACCATTCATATTCACTTTCATCATTATAGAGTTGAAAGTTTATTTAACTATTCAAAATGTTATGCATTTGCATAATGAAGATTTTAAAATCATATGCATTTTATTATTGTTGTATCTATATATTTTGATAATTTTCATGAGATATCATGTTGCAGGAAATTTCCAGTTCATGTTCTAAAAAAAAAAAGTTTACCGCGTGAATGGATAGATAGCAATTAAAATAATTTAATTGTAACATTCAATAGTAAATAAATACTCTGTTAAATTTTGTTTGGATAATATACGAGCTTAACGTTTGTGCATCTAGAAATCACAATTATGAATAATCATGACATTATAAACTTTTTTAAGTCGCAAGCTTCAAGTTTCGATCGCTTTTAATCACTACAGACAACCACCAAAACATTGATTGTGTATATATGTATTAAATATCAGATCTCGATTTATAATTTGGTCAAACTAAATCAGTGAATTTGCGAACGACTAGGAACGAAGAAGGTCCCAGAGAAGACAACGTCCACTTACTCGTGTTAACATCAAGGACCCGTGATAATCACACCACCCAGCCATAATAATACAACCAAATCTTAAAGCCTTGACTGTTTTTTTCTTTTACGGCAAAAACTTTGACTCGTTTCTGATTCACGTATGCCTTAGAAAACCCCACTTCTTTTCGCACGCATCTCTTTCAATGCCTTCATTTTATCTTATTTTCTCAACAATTAACTTAGGCTTATCATCTCGATTAAGAGATTTAAACTAGATTTCTAATACCCTATATATTTATATTCGTGGTAAATGTTGAATTTCATTATTTTAGTTGTGTAGATACTTTTCCACTGCATTAACTACAATATTTCTCAAGAATAGAACTTAGAAAGCAAAAAGCATAAACTTAACGCAATAAAACAAAATAATGTTCAAAACATCTAACAATTTCAAAGGTAAATAGGAATACTATAGTTTTTTCGTTTACTTATCTTAGTTTGTTCATTGGTTGTGTTTTTATTTTTTTCATCATAATGAAACGATTTATTTACTTCGAGGTCTTAGTGCTTTAGAAGTGACGTAGCATCTTTTCACAGCCCAAATTATTTCTAAAGCAAATTTTTTTCTAATCATGCTTTATAAAGATTTTTTAAAGCCACATATTTTTTTTTCTTTTTATTTAGTTTTGATTGTGAAAATCATTAAGCCTAGAATATATATTTTTTGCTTTAGAAATTTATATGTAAATGATTAAATTTTTTTAAATCTATAGCCAAAATCTTACAGCTAAATTATCTACAGCCACAAAAAAGTCTACAGCTATAATTCTATAACAAAAAATATAAAGCTACAGTTCATTCCAATCAACCTCATAATTCTACAAAACTAGAGACAAACATCTTCATAGTAGTTTACCAAAAAAAAAAACATCTTAGTATATTAGCTACTCTATAGTTTCCAGCTCATACGAGTAAAAAACGCGAGACGTTTAGCTCGTCTCCTTTATCACTGATCGGCAAGTCAATGGCTAGATATAGAAGTAGTCCGAGACTCGAAAATCGAAACCATAGATCGATTTTGATATGCCGCTTTAATATGTAGACTTCACTCAATTATTTTGTTTAAGAAATACGAACATTCAAAGTAGTGATATTCAAGATATGTTTAATGTGTTGGCGTTAAGTAGGATAGAAACTTCAACGAAAACTTTATTAAGACTTTTGTAAAAGTTTCCTTCAAAATTACTGCTATCAATTTAAAAGAAACTAGCTAACAATAATCACATACTGAAACCAAATCTTGTTTCTCACGACACAATGTGTAGAGATTTTTTTTTTTTGTTAACCATTTATCTAAACTAGATCAAGTGGTTGTCAGATGAGTCAATTATTCGAAGAGTATCTCCGTCTGGCCGAATCTAATCTATATGAAAAAAAGTATAGTCTCTCTATATTGTATTTACCGAATACTCTCTATATTATTATTTACCAAAAGAAATGTGTAGTTAGTTGAATTTAATTCTAATTTTGTCAGTGGAGGGTTTTGTCTGTCTAAAAAACTATCGAACGAAGACAAACATTCCACGACAAAGACATTCAACTCAAAATAAACTGGGGTGGTGGACTTAGACCTTAATATTTCTGATCAAATACTTCTGATTTTTGTTTATTAATAATTTCTGTATAAATTTTAATTTAGTTAATGTGCAGGCAATAAAGTGATGAACAACAAAGAGGCAGAATCTTCCAATCTGTCATTGCATTGTCGTGTATTTTTGTTTCTGTTACTTTCTGTCGAATGCTTTGGCAGTCATATGCATTGTATCCTCTCCCGGTGAAACAAAGAATCTCTTACTGCAAAAGAGAATTTAAATTTAGCAATGCTGAAAGTTACTTTACCTAGACGAACATTTTATCACTTACTGCGAGAGATCGATGCAAATAATTTAAATATGTAAACCTGTTTCTTCTTGTCTACACTAAATATTGTTTTAGTACAATAATATTTTTGCAAAAACCATAATATTTAGAACATATGATTATGATATATTTATAACTCGTTCCAAAATTATGCATTAAAAAAAATTACAATTCAGATCATCTCAAACTAGTTGGTTTATCTTTGTATATTTATAGCAAATATATATTATAGTCAATAGTGAGGTGAATGTTGATGTAGCTATGAGCCTATTAATATGACATTAATGATTGGTGACAAACTAAAGGCGATTAGAGGAAAACAATTGACAAGTAAAAGAAAACAATGAAGATGCGGCAGTCTACTAGTGTTTGATCTAATACGACGTGTTGTTATATAACTTGATACTAAAACTCGGGAACTCTATTATTAAACCGTAGTTAGTCCAAAACCGATGTATTAATAGATTCTTAGAATAATTGTCACGGTCTCTCATGCATGTGGTAATGGAGCAAGTCAAAGGTCAAAGAATGAAGACAGGAGTGTTTCGAAGCTGGTCCAGCTTCGTCCTCTGCTCCCTAAGCTGGTCCAGTTTCGTCCTCTCCCCCATAACTCGTTTTCCACCTATACATTATGTATGAATATATGATAAAATAGTGTTTTGTCTTTTAGCCCTTGGTACATATATCTAGCTAGTAGTAAGCTCTCACACACACGTAGATGTAGTAGTGTTATGAGAATCAATTAGGTATTGAATGCATGATTCATAAAATACAAACTCAAGGAAAGTTTGTTCAGTTGCTCGACACGTATCATCCATCATTCCATAGTGAAGAAACTAGTGGAACCACAATCAATTTAGTTCACTTTTTTTTTTAAAATTTCACGGCTAAATAGTTCATTGACAAACTCTTGAAAACTTTTTAAAATAATAATATTTTAATATAATTAGATTTTATAACTTAATACAGATAAAAAAATCAACCAATCATAAAATGACATTTGAAAAAAACGAGTTCTAATCAAGTTTTTAAAATAATATCTCAAATAAGATATTGTTTTTTCTCTCCTCTTTTTCTAATTTTTAATTAAAATTTAGAGATGAGATACATACTCTTAAAAATGCTCGCAGACATGGTTTATCATTTTACGTGTAACTATCGATCACGTTGTCAATACTCAATAGGGAGTGATAGTAGCAATTAGAAATTTAGAAGTTGAGACTGTTCTTCAGAAAATAATAAGGTTCACTATGTTTGTCTTTTTATCGGTCTCCTAAATTTTCAGTCAGGTAAATCAAAAGATTCGAACCTAATTGGTAGGAGTGGACGCGGATTCGATATCTAGATTTTTCAAGGTATTTATGATTTGCTTCGAATGTTACGAATATATAATTTTGGTATTTGTTTTGCTTCGAAAAAATACGGATATCCGGAAAAACGGATATCCGAAAAATAAATAGATATTTACGAATATTTACAAATATCTAATCCATTTTGATTAATACAAATAATTTAAAATTTTGATATAAATTTGCTTTGCAAAAATAATTTTTTGCATGATATATAAAATAAAAATTAAAAGAATTAGTGAATTTATATATTTTATAATTTTTGAAGTTTAAGTTGCAATTATAATAACACAAAAGTTAAGAACAAAAAATATAATTGTCATAATTTGTGTTTCTTTTTTTATGTAATACATTTATATAAGTAATAATGTGAATAGAATTGTTCAAAATCATGTGTTGGAATAATAATTATATAATTTTATACATTTAAAATTTAAATATAATCAATATATACATATATTTATATATTTACGAATTGGATCGGATATCCGCTTCCCAAAATTTTAATATTTGTGATTTGTTTCGATTTTAACGGATATTGATTTTTAATATTTGCTTTGATTCGAAAATTTATGAATATCCAAAAAATTTTGATCGAATCGAAAAACGAATAACAAATCGAATCAAATTTATAAAATGTCCAACCTTACTAATCACAACATTTTGTTCTTTTCTTCTCTTTGTCCTATGAAAAAAAGGAAAATCAGAACAATACACTACCGTGTATGGATAACTGGTGATCAGTTGACTAGTAAAAAGGAAAAAAATAGTCATCTAAATTACTAATTCAGTCACTGACAACGAAAATAAATTGAGTTATAATTTGTAATAATATCATTCAAAACGTAGAATCCATTAACCTTTTCTACGATCAGTTACAAACTTATCACACTAATTACGGGAAAAAGCCTATTCCTATCCAAATAATTTCAGCCGTGCCAAATACAATCCGAACAAATTACCAGTACCATATACGACATGAACTACATCCCCCTATACATTAAAAGAGAAGTCACTTTGACACGTGCCACTCACATAGCCCTTCTCAGAAGAATTCTCTTAATCTTATTGGTTAATTTTTTTAGAATTTCTTTTTAAATTTATTTTTATCATCGACAACCTAATAGGAAAGCAACACTAATTAC